CCCCCCCCCCCCCATTCAGTACAGAAGTGGTACTAGAGGAGCAGTAGGATGCATTTGATCTATCCTGCCTTTAGAGTCTGCCATTATATTTATTCCAAGATAAGTACTGAGCTGTGTTTTTTTTGTTTGACTTTATTTTTTTTAAATCCCTGATATCTGGCTGGGTGAAAATCCTGCTTCTGAGAGCTCATAAAATAAGCTGTTGAAGGCAACCACCTTTGGCAGTTGCTTAACAATCTTTAGCTAAGAAATTCAGATTGCAGGATTACTAAAACTCTTGTGTGCTGCACCTGAGCTTGTTTTGGGATTCACTTAGTGAGGCAGTGCACAGGTTTTTGTGACCTGGGAAACCAGCTTTAGTTCATGTATATTTCCTTAAAACAATACTGCTCCTTTTGGGTTCTCGGATCCTTTGGTGAAAGAAGCAGCATTGGTGTCCAGATTGTGGTATTGACTCGAGTTTGAACATTTTACTCCTGTCTTTCCAGGGGATAGGGCAGAAGGGGCTGAGACCAAGACGGGTGACAAGGCGAACAAGAATAGGAGCAGCAACAGTCACTCCGCTGAGGGCCTGGCTTTGGATAACCGAATGAAACAGCTCTCACTTCAGTGCATGAAAATCAAGGAGGGCTTAAGTGCAGGCAGAAAAGCTGCCCAGATTGGCTGAATTGTTCTCCTCCCATCCTACTCTGGTTAATGGGCGTATTGGTATTTATACATGAACTTCTCAGTGTCCGAAGAAGTGTGCCAATAACTATTTAATATATGCCAAATCTTAAGTGTTTACTATAAAAATTTAAAACTGCACTAAAGGAGTGGAATTGATGTTGAGGGCTGATGTTTTTTTCAGTGAAATCTTTGTAGGATGGACAGATTGTCATACATATAGCTGTGCTCATATTTCACAGCCTTTGTAAACCGTTTTGTAGCAGCCTGGCTGAAGCAATAACTGGTAATGTTCATGTGTAAACTCATGCCAATAGGGGTCTGAAATCCAAGCCAAATATTGGTGGTGAGAAGTTTGGCTTCAGTTTTGTAGAATGATACTCTTTAGATACAGTGAATCCCTGAAATCTAAGTGGCGTCTCCTTTAAACACCTATATTTGTCTGTATTATAATGAACCTGTAGGAACATTTTGTATACAGGGAAGTTGTTGCATGTGTGGGTCTAGCAGCCTTCACTCGCTCTCCAGTGTTCCAGCAAGGAGAAGGTTAGTTGCCCTTAAGACTTGGTCGAAGAGGATAACAGAAACATGGTGATGTTCAGTAGCTACGTGCCCCTTCTACCTACCTGCTCTTTGTGTGGCTGCCTTCTAAGGACAAATCTAGTGACAAAAAAGTACAGGACTCTTTTTTTTCTTGAGAACATAAGTATAATTTATCAGCACTTTAAGTGTTATTACTGTAAAACAAGATTCAAGGGTGCGTGTAGGACAGTCTTGTTAGATACCTACCAAATTTGAAGGGGGCTTGCCCTTAAGATGTGCATGAAGAAAAGGAATTGCCCATGTGGCTTGACAGTGTTCTTAATTTTTCTGTAGGTTGTAATGTGTGAGGTTTTATGACTGTTTAAGGGACTTGAGATTTTTAGTATGGCCTAGAAAAATTCACTAAAAGTAGAAAGGGCGTGGGGCATGTTTTGGCAGCAGCTGTTAGGCAGTAGTGTGTCTGGTAATTATGCTAATAAATAGTAGTAAAAATCCTAGGACTTAAGTTTGGTGGCTAGACATTTCTGAGAGCACCATACTGTATCTGAAACATGTCAGTTTATATTGTTAATTTGATGGGAATTAAGTATCATCCAAGGTTTTCTATTCCATGTTTTGCAGTCCTGGTGTATTTTGTCCCTGCCACCGCTTGTGTATCTATTCTCAAAGTAAATGTAAAATTCTTCACACTACAGTAAACATTTTGGTTTTCCATATTTTATTTTGACTTGTGCAAGATTACGGTGTCTAAAACAGTGGCTATTTCAACCATTATTATAAATCTAGTTCCACAGTAAATTAAGTGTAAGAGGATGTTTACAAGTAGTAGTCATGTGTATACATATGTAGTCCAGATTCACCCAAGGAAGTCAGTTTGGTCTCTCGCCATTCTAATGCCAAATGCCCTAGTCTTTAGTAAGGTAAAATGAAGCTTAATGTAAATTTAATTTCAGCACTGGTACTTGATTGGAATGTGTACCCAGGACACTTGAGACTTTTCAGGCAAGACCCTGGCACTGACTACTTTGCTATATCCAAACAATTATTTCATGATAGCTTTCAACTAGACTTTCATTCACGTCACATTTGGCTTATGACTGGCCAATTTTAAGTAAAAAACAAAACAAAACAAAACAAAAAACCCAACAAAAGAAAATCTGCCTTTAAAGGATTACTTGGTATGTAGTGGAGGGGGAGATATTGTATGTTGTCTGACACCTCTGTTGGGACAGAAATCTGATTTCAGAAGATAGATTTAATGTTAACATGCAGAAGTTGAACACAGAAGGTCACCTGGCACTTGCAAAAGGCTTAGCCCTTAGGTCATCATCAGCACATTCCAACTTCTGAGATAACAACTTGAGGAAGAATGGTTAGTTTTAACAAGTGTCACTTGATGCTTGGCCACCTTACCTTCTAGTTAAGTAAATCAGCCAAGGAATTATGTACCGACTACTTATTTTTGCAGAGCTGACAACTCTTAATCACCCTTCTGCTTTTGACCTCTCAACATCAAATTCATCCTGGTATAAAATGGCACAAGGTAAGTCCCTACCAAACAACCTGCATTATGGAAGGATTAATTATGTCCCACTGGAGCTAAGATAAGAAGTTTTCTCTTTTATGCAATGCACTTGCTTACCTCCAACATCTCACTCTACTGGAACAAGAGTGTCAAGGCCTAGGAAACTACCAGCAGCTGTTCTTGAAAATGAGCTGACCCATCTGTAGGGTTGAAAGGAGTAAACATTAAGGATGTGTGAAGCAAACCATATTCGATTCAGATTTGGCCTGATTCGGGGGACAGTGATTCGATTAGTTGATTCAGATCACTGTCCCAATTTGATTTGGCTGAATCTGAATCATAAGATTTGACGCTGATTCGGAGAATCAGCGATTCGGCCATAGACACAGCTTTAAAAGTTTTTTCTACATACCTTGTGGTACCAGGCGTGGCTGGTGAACACTGAGATGGTGGGGTGGATGGAGCATTGCAAAGGAGCGTGGGGGTCCCTCTGCCTGCTTGGCAGCAGACCTGGAAGTGGACCGGAAGTACAGGCAGTCCTCAACTTATAACGTTTCTAAATTGACACTGTTTCAACTTTCTGACTCTATTTTTGACTTTACAATGCTTGATTCAACACCATGCTGTGCCAGCGAACAAGTTGGTTATGTTGCCCATCTCCCTGGAGAACATCTGTCCAAACTTCCTTGGATGCTGGCTTTAAGAAAGCAGCCAAGATTCCCGAGAAGACTCCAGCCAACAACCCTTCAAAAAGCCCAGCAAAGTCACCTCAAAGAAGTCTTTCCAAATCAATATGATTGCTATTTATAATATAAATACATTAATGTAGCTATATTACTTATCTATAAATTGACTGAATAAGAGATTCTGGGTTAGTTTTGGTGAAAATAGGGTATGGGGCCTTGGTTCAGGAACCAATCCCCCATTTATAACATTGTTTTGTATGGGAAAAATTGGTTCCAAGTTACGTTTCAACTTAAGATGTGGCTTTCAGGAACCAAGTGCGTCTTAAGTCCAAGGGCTGCCTGTACTTCCAGTCCACTTCCGTGTCCACCGCTGAGCATGCAGGGGACCACCCCCTGGTATACCCTGCACGCTCTGCAGCAGACCTGGAAGTGGACCGGATCTCTCCGAATAGATTCAGAGGGTTCTGATTCGACTTGGAGAACTTAAAGGGTCTCCTGATTTGATTCGGCTCCACTGAATCGAATCAGCAACTGAAGCTTCGAACAGCCCTAGTAAACATGCAGAAGGCTGCTTCTGTTGGGTACTTCAAGCATTCAGCAGCTGCATGTACACTAGAAAGGTGTATGCAGAGCTCCCTAGTTTGCTTATGCTGGCTTTGATACTCAGAAAGATGCTTTAATAAAATGTCCAACTGTAAACATGGAATTTTATGAAAACTTCTTTTATTCTTTGTAACTCTTAAAAAGCTACTTCTGTGTATTGTATACACAGATAAATGACAAATGTGTATGAGCAGAATATTACTATGAAATACAGACAAGTGAGCAAGCTTTTTCCAGTTACATATATTTTCACATTAGACTCCTCAATTCATCTTTGAATCTAGAATTACAGTAGCTGGCCATGTTGTTAAGAGTATAAAAATAAGCCTCTGATGTTTAAAATATGTATGAACACTTCAGCAGCCTTGGACTGAGATTGTACTGCAGAGCAAAACACAGCAATATGAGGAGTGAATTCTAGCTTCACAGTGTTTAAAGCTTTATCTTTAACATGTATATTGAAAAGATACTCCTTGTACTGTTTTTTTAATCCTAAAGATAGGCAAAATTTGTTTAAAATGCCTCTATATATGGCAGGTACTGAGAATGTTTAATTTTCAGTGGAGAATCCTCCTGCTATTCTGTTGGGTAAAATACCTGTGTATAATCATAACAATTGGATGCAAAGTTAGAATGCAAACATTTTGCCATGCTTAGGACACTACATTTTAATGAAATCTTTCAGGTTGACTGTCTTAGATGGGATGGAAACAGTGGGTACTATTGTTGAAAGCAGCTATAAAGAGAAGGGGCTTTTCAGAACACTGGTAGATTTACCCAGACAACTAACCCAGAGTTTAAAAAACACAGATCACAGCTCTGGACCTCCAGGTGGCAAATATCTTCGGCAGTGCTACAGTAGGATTCACTATAAAGAGCTAAGTAGAAGGTCTACAGTGCATGTGTTTTAAGGGAAAGTGCAGGATGTGCCATTGTCTGTATGTAAATATCCTCCAGGCTCACTATGTAGTCCAGTGCGCGCAGCAAGAGTAGCCACATGGAAATTTAGTACTTTTCTTAGAAAAGTCCTAGACCAGCTAATGTACCTGTGGTCTTTGGTCTACACAAAACATCTAGCAGTGGAAAGTTGAAATGACCAAATATGTGACAAGTGAAGTGCATGCTTGTGAATATAACATGAATCTTTGTAATTTAGTATCTTAAATAAACTTGAGTTGCATTTGGTAACAAGTGAAACAAAAGTAAGAACTACAAATAGGAGGGGGGGTGTGTACATGTGTGCACATGTCATCTTACTGGAAGTACAGTAGTATGTTTGTTTATCAACTTCCAGGTGTGACACCAATTGATTTGAGAAACCAGACTAACTACATCAACTAGTTTTTGGACAGCTGCATAGCCTTTTAAGTCAACTCCTATTTCTTGTGTAAAGGTGTTAAATTACACCATTGTAGGATTCTCTCAACTTCATAGTTTTAGCCCCAAAAATCAGCTACTCAGCTTTGTCATCTGGGGACTTTCCTGGCTGTCAATTAATGATAGCAACAGTCCACTAAACTCATCTGGTAAAGTATCTTCAGAACAAGATCAAAATCCTTGCTCTGCAACTATTAGTTTTGTTAGATAAGAACAGCAGTTTCCCTTTTTAAATAAAATGTTTAAACGAAAGGAAAAAATGTCTTGCACCAAAATGATTTAAGGTGTACAGAATGCAAAAAGTGGGCACCTACATTTGCATTTATTCCAACAGAAAGTTCTGCAAATCAAAGATTGGTCATTTCCTGTTTACTGTATGGTGAAAGCTAAGACAAGACATGCCTCAACTAAGTGTAAAACCGTTCTCTATTGTCAGAAGGTAACAGTGCAATATTTAAAAAGGATTTAGATCAGCATTTCTCAATGTGTGGGTCATGACCTAAAAGTGGGTTGCAAACAAACTTTAAAAATGGGTTCTCCTTTAAAAGAGGAAAATGTGGGAAACCATGGCTTTTCCCTTGCAGGCTGGCAGAGTTCCAGCCTGCAAGGGGCTGCTTGTGGGCCCCCCCACCCATGCTCCCCTGCTCCACACACCCACGCCTGGCCCACACACTGGAGGGCTGGAGGCAGTGGGTCAGGAGTGACGGGCACTGGGTAGGGACTCGCCATTTCTGTTTACAAATGGGTCCTGGTACAAAAAAGGTTGAGAACCACTGACTAGATGAAAAGACTTTCATACCGAGCATACCTGGTCTCAAATGTTAATACGGACTAGCTCTGTCAAGTCACAACACTGTTAGTGGTAGTGATGAAAACTTATCCTTGCTCCTGGCATCAGACAGGTGAGTCTTCCTTAATCCCTCTCATCTGCATGTTTTACAGTCTAAAGTAAATTCTGTGCTGTAGGGTAGTGAAATAAAGTGACTGTAAGCTCCCAGTCAGTTCATCACCATAAAAGCTACTGTGCTACCTTGGTGATGGGGCAGAGACAGAGACTTCTTGTAGAGCAGACACCTATGAACAGGAGGGTATTCACTGATCTTAGTTAATGGACAGTCTAACTCATTTTCTCTTTCCATAAATTGAAAGGATGGAGACTGACCACTCCACAGTAACTTCTGTGCATCTGTTCTATTCCATGCTAAGTGAAAGAAAGGATAGAGATAGAGGACTAACTAATTATGTTTAACTTCCACTTCCTGCATTGCAGGTGACCCCATTTCACTTGGTAGTCAACAGCCTGTTCTTGCCTTAAGGAAGTCCACTTGCTTGATTGGTCAGTCAGCTAAAAATCCTATCCTTTAAAGGGGCGGAGAAGTATTTAAATATGTAAATCCACCTGCTTCCGTTTTTTGGAAATCTATAAAAGCAGTTGCACTGTTTAAACCACTCATGCTACTATTTGCCTGAAAAGTGACCATTAGGGGTATGCCACACCTACATCCCTCTTTATATTGTGGCTCACAACTCTTGGACTTAGCCTGACTTACCAATCTTACCCCGTAATGTGCTCATTACACAAGGATATGTTAGATTTATGGCTTCACCCACAAGAGCAGGCTCCTTTCACCTATATCACAATCCCCACAGCCTCACTGCAGATATTAATAGTCCAACCTACATCTTTAAGCCTTTTGTTGTTTGCTGAACTGCAACCAGAGTTCCTGTTAGATATCTGTTATAGCTTCCATTGTACAGCTTTCATGCACAGATGATAAACAGGGAGTTACTGGCAGAGAGGCAGTGCGCTTTAACTCTGAGCCCAGATGGTCTTTCAGAGAACTGCAATTAAATAGCACATGTTCTACACATTTTTTTCCAAACTACTTTCTTCCTTTAGCAGCTGTTTAACCCAGGGAGATTAAACAAAAGCTATCTTGTGCTATTAAGCTGCTTGATAAATTTATTGTAGCCAACTTGAAGGGAAAGCACTGTATTAACATTGGCCTCTATAACAATGCACAGTATTCCAGTTAAATGTGTGTGCTCAGTTACTTATGATCAGATGCAATTTCCTCCCTCCAAAAATACAGTTCAACTTTTGTCTTGGAAAATTTCCCAGATGGAAACATTTCAGGACCATGTGAAGGAGAATGTCAAATGGCTTTTGAGTTACAAGTCATCTTAAAACTCCTGGGAACAGAAATGATAGACAGACAATGGAAGTCTGCCTTGTTTAAGACTAAAATGATTTTAAATCCCTTCATAAAACTCTCTCAACTACTGCAGTAGTTCTTTTTGGAATAATATATACCAAAATTGAGCTGGGGGAGGGGAGGTGATCTGGGCCACCCCCACTCCTTTCAGTAGGAGTTCTTACATTTACTTCAGGGGATTAAGGTCAAAGAACATGCATCTTTTCTCTTGACACTTACTATTTAAAAAACAAACAACAACCCATAACAGGTGCTTAGGTGATCTTCCATGTGCCTTATTATGGAGGAGCTTCTTGGAATGCCTGCACTCAGCTCCAAAAAGCCCCGTTCACGGAGAAGCAGCATTTAAACTGCTGATTTTTAAAGACAAAATCATGATTCTCAGTCATGAAGCTAACAATGTTACAGCTGCTTTTCTGCAAATGGAACTAGTAGTGTTATACTGCTTATAGATTAGGCCAACAAAAATCTTCCCACAGTTTTAAATACTAGGCTGGAATAAAGGTCTTAGTGCCGAGAAGGAAAAAGAAAATGTTCTTAGGGATGTGCCATCTTAATGTCATACATACTTAGGAATAAGAAGCTGATGAGTACAAAAGTGCCTGGAAGTGCAGTGAAGTGCTCTCTTAGACGGGGAGAATTCTAGCCATTGCTATCTTCTTCCTCCAAATGAAGGCATAGGCTGCTGGTGGCAAGCTACTATGAATTCAATGTACACGCTGATGCTCAGAAGCAGCAAATTCAGGTGTATTTTACTTGAGTGCAATTGATTTTCTCACCTAAATACTTCTGAGCACTAGGCATGCATGACAACGGCACTAATGCCTTTCAGTTATTCTGGAATAAGCACAGTACACAGGAACCCTTCCTTTTCTCTTAATGGTTTACTAAGAATTATGTCATAAGAAATAATATACCCTGTGTTTGGGAAGAAGAGGAAAGACTTCAATACTTAGTTCTTCTCTTTCCACTACTTCATCAAGTTTCAATTTAAAACAAAAATGCAGTAAATTAAGGTCTGCCGATTCATTTTCATACACAGTCAAAAGATCTATTTTCAACCATATTCACACATTCAATATACCTTCAGTCAAAATCTGAAGCATTTTTTCTTTGATGCCAGCACTACAAAAAGCTGTAAGTAAACTGCCTGTTTGCAGTTAAATAAAGCAGACTGCCCTGTGCCTTTGGCTAGGGCTTCTACAGGTAGACTGCAGTTCCCTTTTATGCAAATTATATATAGGTTCTTCCCATGTTCTCTGGATGTGGCATAGCTGTAAAATCTTGACTGTTTCCCTAGACAGCAGTGTAATGTGCCGTGTCACTGAAGCTGTGCTACCTTAAGAGGGGAAATGCTATTAAAGTCCAAGAAGAAAGGACCTTCTTGTTGAGGCAGAAAGGTGCTTGGAACGATATTATAAACCCCAGGAGGTACATTTTCCACTTCCAAGTAGCAAAAGCCGCATCTATAATGAAAGAAAGTGCAAGTTTAATCGCATATACTTGTTGAAAGGAAAGAATACTGCATTTAAATCAAGCATGGTATTACCTGTAATCGCCACTGTTCTTTTTCTGAAAGCTAGAGGGACCAGGATCTCCTACTGTAGAGACTGTGATAAGTTCAAACCCAACGCTGTATTGTCTACAAATAAAGACAGAGACCATTTATATATCATTGCCAACTCGAAGAAAGGGGACACTAATCCTGCTAGGTTGAGAAGTTGTGCATCAAATAAGCTGTAACCTGATTAGAAAACACCTGTAAACTAGATCACAACAATTTCTGCTAGTCAGTCCCACTAATATCATCAATTACTTTTTCAGAGGCTTACCAAGACATGAATTTAGCTGCAAAAATTTGTGACGATTTTAATCCCAGCACCATAATGTGTGGGAGCTGCCTACTAGGCAGTACAAGTCCAGAAGCGTAAGTGGTAAGGCCTGTGGTTACCTACCTCAGTGCCTGTGCTGAATGGCAGAGACAGAAGTCCAAATTTACCCGACCAGTAGGGTCTCTCACGTTATGTCAGGGTAACTGAGGACAACCTGGCCTCGCAAAGCTTAAGAGGGTGACGTACCACAGCCCTGTGACCTACTTGGAATCAAGTCCTCCCCAAATCAAGAAGTGCTGAGAAAGGAGTGTCAACTTATTGCTTCTGCAGCAACTGCTAAGTAACCTGGTTTTTTCCATGAAACAATCTCCACAGTTTCTCATGTCTGGACAGCAGCAAGGCTTGTTCACAGTGCTCCCAGGGGGTAAGTGCTTCCACTTAACATGGCTTCTCACAGCTTTGTGAACAGGAACATATAGCTGTTGGCCTACTGCTCAGTAACCCTCTACCCTCAGCCAGGAACTTTACTGAGGAAGTGTAAAAGTGATCTCTGCGGGGGGTTTGCTGCTCATTACTGAGCAAATTCTCTCCCACTGACTGGGAGCAGACATCCAGATAAGCTGCGACTTAAACAGAAGCCCTTCTACATGCCACTTCAGCTCCGGTCTTTAAAGCCTTACTGGTTACATTTTAACTTAATTATATTTTACCTTAAATTCCCCCTTCAATCCTGCACCGTATTCTATGAGCCCTTAAGGACCAATAAGCAGCACCACTTGTGTAAAACAGCTGCCCCAGTTCACCCCAGTGATGGCTATATTTCCACTATAGACTTATTTGAATACTGCCTGGACTTCGGGAAAGTTTAGGACGAAAGATGGTCCATAGCTGGCACTGATACATCTGCCTCTATAGCTCAGTGGTTCTCAACCTTTTTAGACTCAAGGCTCCCCACACCTTGCTAGTCTCACAGCATCCCTCAGAAAATGCTAACTTTTAGCTTCCACTCTTTTACTATTTTTGCATAGTAATAAAAAAAAGAGTCATTCTTCTGTTGCAAAGAACTCAAAAGGAGGCTAGACAATCACCTAGCCAGGGTCGTTTGACCCCAGCATCCTTTCCTACCCATGGCAGGGGGTCGGACTTGATGATCTGCTTCGGTCCCTTCTGACCCTACCAACTATGAAACAAAGACCACAACAGGGCTTAGAAAGTTTTTGTCTCTCTGGATCTCTACTTGAAATCTCTTGACCTTCCTGTGTGAAGCAGGTATAGGTACCCTTAACAGTGAGACCCTGGCTTGGAATCACTGCTCTAGCCTAATCGAGAGCACAGCTGCACTCAGGCAGGTGCAGCTATGTAATGGAAGAGAGTGGCACTATCCATAGGCAAGCAGCAGGGTGGCCCATACACTGTTACAGTTTCAGAGACCAGGGATAAGGCAAGCTAGCTCCACTTCACAGGTGAAGGAGACACGCTTATAGGAGGGGAGGAGGGCTCCTTGCATTTTTCCTGCTGTTCAGGACCCAATAGGGGTCTGACCTTGATATAATGAACTATAGAAGAAAGGGTTTCTACTTACTCTTCCCACCTATCAGAGAGGATCTTCTGATATTGAAACCAAGATGTCTGCTTAAGCTGTTAAAGTGAACCTGAAACATTTCCATCAGAAATAATTCCCTCCTTTTCTTGATCTTTTTTGCAAGCAGCTTCCCATCTCCCCAGAGGAGATTTAACAAAGTTCTCTGTTAGGCCAGGTCCTATTCCATCTACTAAGTATATGAGGGGGCACATACAGCTGTATTGCTAATCAAAGAATATTCATCTAAGCCATTAGGATGCAGCTGTTAGGTCTGCCTGACTCTATAGCAATAAAACTGTAGCAAAAAAATCACAGCAACTTTAACTTTGCTCATTCAGGGTCAAAATAAGTTTTAGTTAAAACTTGTATCAGTACTGGGTCTCACAGATCTAACAGGTGACATATTCCAAAGTGGCAGCTCCTGCTTCCTCTCCTGTTTTAAAAGGAGCTAAAAAGTGTATTTGTCCATATCTTTAGGGGTACACAGGCACTTAAGTGCAACTCTATTCCACCCTGCTCAAGTACTCACAAGTTTTCTGTAGCATTCAGAGGATCACATTTAGAGACTATTTCTGTACAGTGAATCCTACTTTGACTTTTTAAATGTGATCCTTTGTTTATTTAGATCAAAGCCTTGCAACCCTTATTTATTTTTCACAAACCTTGGTCCTCTTAGTTCAATTAGTAATGGCCCAGTCTTCTCTAGCTGAAACTGATAAATGGGGTTGTTTTTATAGGAATCTCTGAAATTCCCACATCCTCCAGCACTATGATCTTTCCACTGCCCATTAACCTATAGCAAACAAAACACAAAGCCATAGTATAATTAGACAGTTTGGGGTTGTTTTTTTTTTTTGGGGGTGGGGGGTAAAAATAAGCAAAAATGAGGTCCTGGATTTTCTTCTTTGGTGTGAAAAGCTGTTTCTCTACTGACCTCAGTTTCTCTTGATTTACTCCAACGTGGGTCAGAATTTTTTTCTGTAGTATTCAGAGGAGCACATTTAGAGACTATTTTTGTATAGAGGCTCCCACTGACTTTTTAATGTGATCCTCTGCTTATTTAGATCAAAGCCAAGGGACCCTTATTTGTATTAATAATTTAGTAACCATCTTTTCCCTTTGATTATATTATGGGGCTACTACTAGATAATTTGCTGTCTGGTAATCTTAAGTTTGATATTTGATAAAGAAGGAGCCACAGTTTAGCCCATTAATCATACTGCAATACTTATTGTGGTGGAATGCAGAAAATAAAACAGCACCATCTTAGTATTTTTGCCTTTTTAAAAGGCCTCCTCCCTTCCACCCTCAAACATAATATAAACTGTCATTTTGTATTCACAATAACCAAGGATCAGCAATCCAGGCACACACCCCAAGGGCACAGGGGAGATGGGAGAAAGGGAGGATGGAATGGAGTATGAAGATGCTACTACATTTCAAGAGGACAAATACCAGCAGTAAAAGAGTGTTGCTCAGATCTCAAGGAAAACACCATCTGTTGGAGCATTTCTCCTGCTGGTCAGTAAGAGAGACGTTATCCTCTCCAGATTTGCCAAATCACTCTCACCAGCTTAGTGTTGAGACTCAAGACTGTTTAAAACTCGTTATAAGCAGCTGCTTTTTCTTGCAATTACACCATTTTGTTAATGCAAAATTAAATATATGACAAATTTAAAAAATGCATCCTTGCTTCATACTAATTGGAAAATATTCATCTCCAACAGTTGTTGAAGGAAGACATTCTTATCACATATGTTAGCAGGAATCTTAACTTATCAATGGATAGTATCTAGTGAACCCTAAGGATGTCTGTTAGGTCAGATTTAGAGCTGATTTAAGTCTAAGAGATGGTTAGGCCTAAGCTATTAAACACATTCCACAATATAGAAACAGTAGAATAAAGAGCTTCTAACTTCTTCAGACTGTCATCTAGTTAGGAGTCATTATCTATCATTTAATGTTAAATGTGGGCTGTTAATCCTAAATACCAGGTATGAAAAAATTTGAGCTTACATGGAATGTTTTTGTTTTTTGGATCTTGAGTACCTAGATAACATTTGGTTCTTAATGCTGTTTAATAGCAAAGGCTACCTCCATAAAGCTAGCAGTCCTTTATTACTGGTATTGTTGGTCTCCAGAGATGAGGAATAAAGGAACTCCCTCTTGCTGGGCTCTGATAAGCTAGTTCTGTCACAAAACAGTTCTGATCACTGCAGGGCATTTAAACAGAGCATCACAATAAGTGGCATAAAGGATTTTTCATTGTAGCTGTAACAGCAACATGCCAAAATGCAGATGCAGCTTATAGTGGCAAAAGGAGTAGTCTCATTTGGGAAAAAGCACCTCCTCAGATGACATAAGCTACACCAACAAAGGACTTTTTGCAGATGTGGTTGTCTAGTAGGAGGAAAACTTGTAGTGCAGTCCTGGTTTAACTGAAGTAAAGGATGCACAATACATTCCTGTTAAATCTAGGTGAAATTAGTGGCTGTCAAGAGTTCTTCTTGCAGGAAGAATACAAACATTTACGAAAAGCACATGCAGAAGTGTCCTTTCCCATTATCTAGAATTTGGCAGGACCACGGACTATTATTCAATGAAATATATAGGGAAAAAAAAATCTATTTCCTTACCCTTTTGGAGGTGGTGTATGGTGTAGGGATCTTGGAAAAGGTGAACTTGCATACTGAATACACCTACATGGTAAAAAGAAGAATTCAGTCACGTGAATCACATGTGCACTTGTATGAAATTATGACCTAAAGGCATTGCAAGAGGCTATATGCATGTTTCAGCTTTGGAGATCTGAATTTCCCTTCCATCTCAGATCAGGTAAAAAAAGGCTCAGTGACACTACTGGTATTATAAAAGGTGATATTATAGAAAGTCATAAGTATCTATATCCACAGGAATCCTTCCAGAGTGTCTACTTGTCTCACCCCTTCCAACCATCAGCTCAATGACTCAGTTCCAACTAGTTCAGAAGCCCCACAATCAGTAATCAGAGCCAGTGTTGATCTCACCCCCTGAGGTTAACTGTGGCAAACATTTCAATTCGGGGGGGGGGGGGGGGGGGGGGGGGGATAAAACAGTACCCTACAGCATGTAGCTGCATATAGGCAGGAAAGACACAGCCAAGGTGTGCAGTTCGTGCATGCACACAAGTAACATTCTCTGTGAAGTGCTAGAGAACCAATTATGGCTCAAGCCATAGGCTGAGTATCCCTTTATTAAGCCCATGTCCCTTCCTCAAGATGGTAAACATAGTGCTTTTGAGATGTTTCCTGGCAGCCACTACCCACTCTAGCAGTCCCTGTTCCTCTAATGCTACTTCTGTCTTGTTTCGCCATGCTCTGACTAGCTACTCAATGTGGTCAGCATGCAAAGTTACACTAAGCAGTGCAAGTAAAATACAGAAAGGAAAGGGCCGGTGCCAGTGAGAAGAATGAATGCTTAGAGTCCAGAAAGGGGCATTTGAGAACAGCAGTTAACACTCCTTGAAGCGTTGTAACATTCAATATTGCTGTCCATGTCATCCCCTTTGCATTGGGCTGGTGAAGGGGCTCCAGCCATAATTCTCTACAGCCTCCCTTTTCTCCTCCCAGCATGTCTTTTGGTGGGGAACAAGGTTAGTATTTAAACAGGAAGCAGTTCTGTTCACTCTAAAACATGCCCTACTTATACAGTACTTTTAAATGTTTCTCATTTTTCACTATTTGTGAGCAGTCACGGGATATTAAAAGAATAAAGGGACCAACAAAAGGTACTAAACTAGGACAGTGGGTTTTCATTTCAGCAGTGCCTGTCAAACTAGTCTGCATTTAAGCATGAAACCTAGGGCTGGATTGGGACAGGTGCGACTGAAATGCAACAATTCTATGGAATGAATTTAGTGTCAGTGTAGAGGCAGTGTGTATGAGCTGTGTTTTACTACTTTTAGTAGCAAAGGAAACATTTAATGCATTGGCATGAGATCTGTCAGTTAGAGAATGACCTTTAATTTTCATCGTGAACATAAAGAGTTGGAGAAGCAGTGAGAAAATATTTTAAGCCATTTCAATTAAAATCCAAGGTGGGTGAAAGCTGGGTCATGTTTTGGCCTTTACTTATAAGAAATAAAAATACTTTTACCTTTTTAACCTAGTCCCTAGTGGATACTACTTCAGAAAATCCCATAAAAACTGAGGAAGGCCACGGACTGAAATATTATGCAACTAAATCCACTGACATTATGTTGCCCTACAGAAACAGAACCAGAACGCACTGGCCTACATGATGTCTGCCTTCTTCCAGTGCTTCAAGTCTATCATTCACACTTCCCCAAAATAAATACATTTATCCAAAAATACTTCTTGTAAAACGGCTTCAAATACTTATTTCAAGGAACAGATATTTTACAAAACCCTGCCAAGTCATGGACACTCTCTCCCCCATATTTTTAACAGTGAATGTAAATTTATTATAATATGTTTGCATGCTGTTTTTAATACATACCCTGAGAGTATAGTGGATTGTGTTCTGTTTCTCATACTGTGACACCACCAAGGTAAACGTGTGGGATCCTGGAGAGGTCAGCTTTATCTTTGTTAGATAGTGGGGGCTGTTTATCCGAATCCCATCAATATATGGAGATGGGTCAGCTGGGGGTGGAAAAAGTGCATATTACCACATCACCAAAACCCCCCAGGGTTGTTGACAATCATTAGCCATTTTGCACTGGTGTACTTTCTGCTGAGCAGTTAGGTTACCGACACCAAACAGACAGCAACCAGACTACACTACAAGTACCCAGGCATGCTATTTTAAACACAACAGCATCTTTAGCTTTCTTTTGAACGTGTTTTGGAGTCTTTTCAGTGAATGCCTAATTAGCTTTTGGGAAACTGGGCACAATATTGTACCTTCTTGGTGAATCAAGAATGACTTTTCCCAGGGTATGCTGGGAAATACAACTTCAGTCCTGCATCAAGGGTCCAATCCAAGTTCCAATGAATTCAAAGGGAGTCATCAGGTATGACACCTCTATTTTAATGGGCTCCTATACTGAGATTTTATGTAGGCCTATTAAAAAAAAAATTTAAGCAGGAAGTCCTTCCTAAGAGACGTCTCTTACAGACATGCCTTTTAGAGCATGGCAAAAGGCAGTCCAGGAATCCATGTCTAGGATGTAGGCTTTAAAAAAACCAAAACCAAAACTATTTTGGATTCTTCTAAAAATGAAGTTTTACAATATTGTTTTCTCCTTTTTGTATTGTTCCCCCTCAAATAATGCATTCACTTTTAGCACAGACTGACAGCTCTATAGTTACGGACTTGATTGCAGTAACTACCTGTATAAGAGATCCATCTGAATGACTGCATCACTATGTAATTTATTTAACATACACTGCCAGACATTGACAGTGCTTAAGAACATGTCAGGAAAGCTCAGACTTTTATTGGAACCTTGGGTGTTCTTCAGGCTTATTCCTGCCCCACTAAAATCTGGAGGACCTAGCTGCTGGCTTTGAGTAGGCATAGGATCAGGCTTTATTTTCTTTTGCATGGACTACGTCCCTTTTAAATGCCTGGAGGTGGGGGGGGGTGTAGAGGAGGGAGGGTAACAAATTGAAGCTTAGGCTTGGGAAATCCTGGTCTCTGTGCCAAACAATTGAATTGCACTGCCCTGGTTTCATCTGAACAGATGTGGAAAAAATAATATTGCAGCTCTACAAATCTGTTGCAATACTTTAAGATAATCTGAATCTGTGAGAGGGGTTAAAAGCAGCATAAAATAAATTAGGACATAGGATAAAACAAGACTTAGGCAGATATTATGTTCAAGTTAAAAGATCTACCTGTGGGTAGAAACCCCTTGTAGAAGATCTTTTAGGCACAGATGAAATAATCACTCTACGGTACCAAGACTGACTTTACCCACTAGGGAGGTCACTTTTTAGTCAAAAGATCACATAAGTGCTGCTGCTAATAGTAGTCAGAGACATGACTGATGTACCAAGAAAGAACAAAATACTTTTAATGAAACCCTCTCTTTGGAAATACAGATGACGATTTGCCTAGATCCCAAAGGACCTTCCCTGCAGAAACAGCCTGGAATCTAAAGCAACTTCTTGGCATGGTTCACTGAACATGATGGGATCTGCCCTTTCTGACAGCTAACACAAAACAAAAACCTCTCAATGGGCCAGTGTAATTGGCAAGAGCAATCTACGTATGAGAACATGACTGACAATTAAAGCCCAGATTCAGAAGGAGATTTAGGCAGCTTAATGCGTTTTGGCTAGAATTTGAACCTTTCCCCTCCTGTGCGGGTTCTATGTAAAATGCTTAGCAAAGCATTCTAGGAATGAGTGCATGCCTATCTCCTCCTGTGCCTGGTTCCAATGACAGTGCAGTATTACCATAAAAATCAAGCATGGTTAACTCCTGATGGGGAGTTTTGGACACTGAAAGGAAGAAAGGCTCTTCTTAAGTTCAGTAGATTCTGGGAACAGGGCAAGTCTTCTGAAAATCAGAACGGTCAGCAAGTCTGAGCTATTCTAGGAAAAGAGAAAACAGTGGCACAGACATCCCAGAGACTCTGCAAGTTGGTCAAAAGCAAAAGTCACTATGTCAAAATTTGAAACCCCGCCCCTCCCATGAATGACTCTGAACATGATTTCTTTTCCATCTTAATTAAACCGCAAGCATACTTTTCTTGGCAACTTTTGTACCCATACCTGGATAGTAAACTTTTTTCCCATCTGTTTTGTACACCACCAGTGTAATGAACTCTCGGTTGTGAGCAAAGTCATCCTATAAAGAGATGATTATGGTGAGTTGCACACTGATCCAGACTGTTATGAAGGCACTGAAAACACGAAAATTTGCATTACTGCATTTGTTTTAGCACATGGCTTGATCTGGGATTTGTATCCACCAAGGTGCTTAAGGATGCACCAAGACTGCTCCCACTAAAGACTAAAAAAATTTCAATAAACTTCACTGACAGCCCAGTCCGCTAGAGTCTCCTGGTGGCGAAGTAACAAGTCTACCTCAAGTTTTTGAACTGTGAATAGAACTAGACAAACAGCATATATTTTAACATAATATTACTCATATCCTATATGTGGACCAAACGAAAGAGTTACACTATATACATTTATGTATTACAATGCAGATAGGTCACTTTTTAGTTCCCTACACTTATAGAAAACACAAAAGTAACATTTATTACAATGCAGAGAAGTAGACAGCCTTGTATCTAGCTCTATGCACATGATCAATTACAACAAACAATACAGGAAAAGAACCCCAGTATTGGTTTAGTTAGAATAGAACTTAATACCTTGTCTGTAATGTGTCTGCTAAGCAGGATCCACACTGCAGCTCCACCTTGTGGACACTGTACCTCCAGTTTGTATTGCGGATTATTAGCCAGGCTGTAGGCATCTTTCACTGGACCTTGCTTTGCATCCCAAGTGCTAATAAATACCAATAATTTGATTAATAAAGATGCTAATTCATATCTCTAAACCTACCTGCAAATCCAAAGATAAACTGGGCAAACTGCAATGGATAATTGCTGTAATTGTGGCACTAGCTGCAAAAATAGGGCTATGTAATAAATGCTTTCCCTGGTATTTGTTGCAGCAAAGCCATCAGTAAAGCTAGATCAGGAAGAGAACAGTGGTTTGGCTCAGCAGATAAGAGCACAGACAACAAAAAGGACAAGATAAAACCCACTTCTGGACACACTCAGAAGGTAGCAAATGATTGCCATGTAGGATGCTAGTACTGATATTCAGAAGGAAACCTGTGTCTTCTAGAGTAGTGGTTTTCATCTTTTTTTTCATTTGTGGACCCTAAAAAATTTTGAATGGAGGTATGGATCCCTTTGAATTGTAGGTGTGGGTATTCGTGTGCTTTTGATTGATCAGTCATCTTGTGCAGACCTCTCCGAGTCTGCAGACCCCTCAGAGGTCCATGGACCACAGACTTAAAACCACTGTTCCAGAATATGGTTCCAGAAACCATAGCCCAGCTATTATACAATAGCTAGTTTGGGGGAAAAAAAATGGTCCCTACACTTTTTTATTCAGAACATTTCATAAAACATTCACTATCTGCTCCAACCAGTTGCAGCAGCCTGGATCATTGTTTCAAACCATCATGCTTTGCTTAGAAGAGGATGTTATAGGTGGAAGAAAAACAGAAAGAACTGAAACTCCTTTAAACAGCCTAACAAACTGGAGAGAGACACAGACCTTTGTTGTCTGTGATGGTTTCTTTAATTCTCCTTATTCAAAACTGTTAATGTTGCATTAATTAGCTGGTCCCGATTATTCCTGTTGCATATCTGTTTGTAAGCAGCCATGTGCACCATGCATTTTCCAAGGAGGCAAGAAGCAGTCTCTGACAACCTAGGTTCAGACCGGGGCTCTGGGAAACCAGAAACAATTTTGTCTTTTCTTTCCCCACTTAGTATACACATGAATTGGTCTCCCTGTAGGCAGTGTGGCAGAATTGGACTATTTCAAGCTGGTTTAAAGTTGGAGAAGGCAGTAACTTTTGAAGATGAGTTCCTGAAGCCTAGTGTACAAAGGAAGGGAGAGAAGAGTCTCTGGGAAGCTGGCAGACAGGCAAACAAGGGTGGTGAACTCACACTGACTGGCAACATGGGGAAGATGACACAAGGCAAGACCAGCTCAGAAAAATAGGAAAAAAGTTGCACAGTTTTCAGGAGGGAGACAAGAAGCCTGAATGTGACAAGACCATGCCAGGGAGCCAGCAAAGGGATTTAAAAGGAATGCATCAGCATCTTCCTGGGGGAGTGGGGGGCACTTTTCTGAAAAGTTGTTCACCTAGGTCCTGGTGTTCTCCCTTGACATACTTGTAGGCAACTATCAAGCCACCTCTCAGCCTTCTTTTGCTCAGGCTGAACAAAGCCAGATCCCGAAGTCTCTCCTCATAAGGCCTGTTCCCCAGGTCCTTGATCACACGGGTGGCCCTCCTCTGCACCTTTTTGAGCTTGTCTACATCCTTCGTGAAATATGGTGCCTAGAACTGGACCCAGTACTCCAGCTGTGGCTTCACCAACACTGAATAGAGGGGGAGAAGCACCTCTTTGGATCTGTTGGCAACACATCTGCTGATGCGCACCAGACTTCTTTTGTTCTGTTGGCAACTTTGTCACACTGATGGCTTATATTCATCTTCCGGTTGATTATCACCCCTTGGTCCCTTTCAGATGCAGTGTCAGCCAGTGAACCACCACCCACTGTACAAATATGGTGAGGGTTCTTCCTACCCAGATGAAGAACCCAGCATTTGTCCATGTTGAACCTTAAATAGTTTTGTTCAGCCCATAGAACCAGCCTGTCAAGGTCTTCCTGAATCCTTGACCTGTCCTCTCATCTATGATTGTCCCCACAGCTTGGTATCATCCACAGACTTAATCACTGTACTTTTTACTCCCTCATCCTGGTCATTAATAAAGATTTTAAAGAGCATGGGCCTGACCACTGACCCCTGAGATACACCACCGGAGATGGCCTTCCAGGATGAGGCCACCCCATCAATTACAACTCATTGAGATCAGCCGCTGAGCCAGTTCCCAAACCAACTTCACTGTAGCCTGGTCTAGGCCAGAACTTTCCAACTTAACTGAGATGATTTCATGGGAAACAGTATCAAAGACCTTGCTGACTTCCCCTCTACAAAGCCATGCTGGTTGCTTTTCAGTACCCTACCAGATGCGAGCTTGCAGCTGATCGCCTCCTTGACAGTTTTTTCAAAGATCTTTCCCAGGACCGAAGTCAGACTGACCGGTCTATAGTTGGCAGGGTCACCCCCCTTTTCCTTCTTAAAGATGGGAATCATGTTTGCCTTTTTCCAGTTGTGGGGGACAAACTTCTGAGTTCCACGTCTCCTCGAACAGCCTCACCAGAGGCACTGCTATGAGCTTGGCAAGCTCTTTCAGCACTCTTGGGTGAAGGTTGCTGGACCAGGAGACTTGAAAACATCCAAATGATCTAAAAGTGTTATCACCTGTTTTGGACTGATTTTATGAGGACCACTGTCATTGCTGTATTCCTTGCACCCCTGGTTTGATGACCAGTTCGCCTGATTTCAGGAAAACTGATGTGAAGTAATTATTAAGGAGCTCTGCCTTTTCACAGGGGTCAACTGTGGGCTTCCCCTCCATGTTCAGCAGGGGTACCACAGTAGAGCTTGATTTTTTCTTGCTCCCTATGTCCCTATAGGTAAAAATTCTACTATTCATGTGCCCTCACAAGGGTTATGATTAACCCTGCAACATCTCTAAACAGAGTACCTCCTCTACGGTCAGAGGAGGGGCACACAGGATTTTCAAACATAATCAAGACTATAGCTGTTAAATTGGGCCATTCTGCCTTTCCATTCAGAACCTGACTCCATCTAATGGTCACATCCCAGGGACTGAGAGGAGTACAGAAAGGAGGGAAGCACCACATCAACATTATTTTTAAGCATCAGTGTAACATGCACTAAAAACCAAACTTATTCAAATGCTGGGAGTTTAATATCAAAAGTTTCTGTGGACCAACCTGTGAATACATGTAGATTCTTTAAAAAGACTTGGGTTCCAACTCAAATAAATAACATCATAATACTGGCAGAGATCCTCCCAGGCAATCCAGAATATCCCTACAAAGAAAACATTTTTCACTGTTTTAAAATAATACCTTGGTTTTATTCATTTTGCAGGACCCTCATTCCAAAAACTATGGGATCTGTATAAAACCTAAATTCCTTGCAAGTCTTAATATAGATGCTTTCCCTCTTGTCAAAGTAACCTCCAGAACAGGCTTGAATGGTAAACTGGAGCAGTACTAAGACCTAGCTACATGGTTACTGTATGTGCCCATCAGCAAGGCTGCTGGTTTTCCTCAGCCATTAAGATATTGTCCATTCTGGAGCACTGAGCTGAAGCGTGAGAATCCCCATCACCTCTGAAGATGCGAGTATATTAATGACTTCTGAGCTGCCCTCCACTATTGGTTTCCCTCTGTTTGACCATTCCAATTCCCCATTTTCTATCTATTCAACCAGAAGTGCATTAGAAATAGAGTGACAATATGTCCTGGATTTCATATGCTGCTGGGCTAGTTTGTGTAAACTGCAGCAAAAGTCCTGGGATTTGGCTGCTGCAAGCAGAGGCAGAGGCTGCTGCTGCCCACAGTGCCTGGCCCAGCTCCTCCTAAGCAGAGACTGGAAGGTGGGTGGGGACAGGCTGGGCTGGGCACCACTCCTTGTGCCTGGGGTGGGGTAAGCCAGGGCTAGGGAACCTGCACAGGGAGCCAGGATGGCTGCTGTTGAGGCCTGGGCTGCATGTGGTGAGGGAGGAGGGACTACTCCCTGCCAGGTCCAGCCTCTGCCCAGCCCTGGCCTCTGTGCTGTCCCAGTCTGCCCTCAGGGTTCCTAGGAGCTATGAGGTCAGGGTGTGTGCATGCGTATGCAGTGGTGCCCCCTCGTCTCAGATTCCCTTACTCTGTCCCAGATTCCCTTAACCATAATCTGGTCACCTTAATTAGAAGGGACTGCCACTTATCCAGCACACAATCCCCGCCCCCCCCGATAGGAAAATCCCTCAGCTTGGCAGTACTTGAAACCTCTCCCTGACATTCTATTCACTCAACATCCATTTGGCTCCTCTTTAGTACAGCGGCATTTGCTTTATTATAATATTCATGTGCAATTAGTAGGCTCTCCCACATGATCCAACTGCATCTATCACTGACAGAAATAGAAATGAAATGACCTTAAATTCTCTATATGCTAGCAGTACCCACACAAGATCCTAATACTGAAGAAGATAACTATGCATATTTTTGTATCAGTTATCACATTTGTACATTTGCCTATGAGACTGGTTAGATGACAAATCCAATCAGAAAAAAATTACACTCTTTAAATTAACTCAGTTTCAGAGCCTACAGATTTAAGCTGATGGACTGTCAGGCAATAATTCATCAGTAACCGATCAATTTGCTATGTTTCCTGAAAAATCAAAGCCAGACAGCCAGGATAGTGATATTCTGCTAAAAAGTCAATGCTTTTTCTACCTGGCTCATTATACCATATGGTATTCAGAGCCTGTGTGTCTATCTTTTGCTAAAAAAGATGTGATAGACAAAGCTGAGCAGAAAGGGATGCAAATGAGGATACAGAAGAAAAGCTGCATTGTTTCTGAAGCTGAACAGTGACTGGGACATTCAGGTACTGGCAACAATTTTGCCCCGTCACAGGCAAGACCCTTGTTGATTTCCCAAGCACAAAACACACTATGGAAGGTGTGTTCCAAAATAGCACCTGGCATTGCTCAAAACTATTTGTCTAGGGAATTATGGAGTACTACTATTGGCGTGTCAAAGAAAAATCCTGACTATTTCTAGTTCTCCAGGCAGCAACAGCCTGCAACCAAGGATTTGTTAAAGCATAGCATAAAGGAGAAAATACTGAAAGCAAAATTGCAAGCCTCAAAACTCTTCGGGGAAAGGAAATGAAAACCTGTTGCTTGTGTGTCATATATAGATACCTAACCATGAATGCTAGGGAACAATCTGATTAAGTACAGAAGATCCATTTGTGTACTGGTGAACAATATTTCCTCTCAATATGTATTAAATTCTAAGGCTAGAAAATACACAAAGGTTAAAAACAGAGTAAAAGCTATTGTTGACTAGATTTCAGGTAGGCTGTAGAGAGGTGATTAGTTAATTCTGTAGTGGGTTAAAATAACCAAATACTTCCATCCCTTTGCCATTTAGTTGGTTTAGTATCTCATTTCCTTCTTTCGCGTTAGTTCTTCTCTCTCCCCTTGCTATGTGAACAGCTGAGAAAAAAAAACAAGGAAATGCAAACACTCACCACACCCTCCAGGATCTCAACTGCCTAAAACAAACACTGGAAAAAATTCTGTAGTCTCCTGAAGTCATCACTTATTTTAATGTTATAACCAGCGCTAGTTAAGAAACAAACAGACGTGGAATTTGAGATGACAGCATCCCTGTAAGTCACATTACCATTGTCAATCTTCTGAGCTGTCCTGGGATCAAAGTTTAGGTATTTTTGTAGGTCAGGGGTCCAATTTTTCATATCATTTTCACTGTATCTTCCTTTCCAACGTAAGTGACTCCAGGGATTTTTCAGCTGGAGGAATCGATGTCCCTAAAAGAGCAGTTAAAAAAAAAAAAGGTCACCTGCTTTATTTTGTTGGGACATTCTTCTTGTGCAAGAGATTGGCTAAAGACTTAAGAAATATAATGTCATTACTTTTTGTCCCACTAAAGTTTTGAATGAGATAAAAATCAAATATCTTGTCTGAGCAAAATCCCACTGTCTTACTGGACAGTTATGCTTAGAACCATCCAAAAGGCAGCCTATTAAACAAAATGGTTTTACTAGATACCTTATATTCTCTTATATCCAAAACAGCATATGCATGGGTTGGAACTAAACCCCATTTCTCCCCTTCCTCTTCAGACATTACTCCTGTTGCTGTTGTGATAAGAACATCTCCTTTATGAAATCTGGCCAAAAGAGAGAAAGAGACTGCTGAATTTAGTTGCATTTAGCACATGTAAAATGAATATAGTAACATTACACTTATTGTATACTGAACTCTGGTTATATCTTGTCTGTTACCAAGACTCTGCTTTACAGGTGCAGGATACAAGTACTCTTGTCTGAGGTAGGTGCTATTGAAAAAACCCAAGAAGAGAAAGTCTAAGTGACACTTTTTTAGTATTTAAAGTGTAGGATGCAGTAGAAAAAGACAACTTTGTTTCTCAGTGTTCAAGAAGCCTCATACTGATCATGCTGTTTATTAAAGATATTCTTCATGATATAAATCCTCTCTATTTTTGAGATATACAGAGAATGTCAAACAACCAAACTAAAGTAGCAATTTTGAGGGCAGAAGTTTAAAAGACTGGAGGTGAAAGGTATGTTGGCGAGAGGTAGGTTTCCCACATTCCCATGATGGCCATCTGCACACTCAAATGGTTCTTGCCTGTATCAGTGTAAAGCTGGCCTCCAACACTTTAAGAAGGTGGGATGCAATCCAGGGATATGATTGCAGCACAGGTTGGGGTACCCATGCTATCTTTAATCTACCTAGCATGTGTAACAGTGAGAAAATGTGATGACATGGTTAGAACAGTTTAACAACTCAAGTATCCTGTACAGCTCATGCTGAAACATGCGCTGATGTGTCTTCACTGCTGTTACCCATGCTACTGATCTATACCTACACTTGATACAACCACACTTTCAGACTGCATCAACAGTCACTGGAAATGGAAGGAGATCACAAATCCTCTGAAGAAAGAGTGGCAAAGTGCACTGACAGAAAAAAAAAATGGGAAGTGTATACAAGTCTTGCTTGTCTGATCTTTAGCAAGCTAAGATTGTTTTTCTAGTACATTGATAATAGAGAACAGAAACTGGTCAGATAAAAATCACACAAGTCTGGGGGAACTAGAAGAAAAGTGCAGTTGAAAACTATACCCAAGATGCCATTATCCCGAAAGAAAGATGTGCCAGATTTGAAGACTAGCATCATGGTCCCAAGAGGAGCAGAGCACCCTCTAGCCCTCACAAATCTACTAATCTCCCATTATCAAGAACTTCTGTGGCATCATTACAGACAGTTCCCTGCATTTCTTTCCATTATGAAGACAGCTCCATTATGAAGTTGGAAAACCCTTCTTCTCCTTACATTATTTTCAGTACCTAGCTTGGGGGAGGATACTGGCTTCCATTCCCCTCAACTTGAAATCTATGCCCATCCATTCCCCACAACAAATCAGAAGCTGCTAACAGAAAAGTGCTAATTTTTACAGTTCTATTAACAGCAGAAAACCTTGATCTACACCTAACAGAAAATCCTCCTCACCGCATAAAATTCTACTGCCAAAGTCACTGCTGACTATTCCTCTAGTGAATTCCATAGGGAAGGGGAGAGAGGGACTCTAAGGCAACATGTGCTAAGTGACCGTGATGCCAAGGACACAGACTATTGTGATTTTTGACCCTTTTTTTTTTGTAATGAACACACATGCCCAGTTACAGACTCCTATCACATTGAAAAGAACAAAATGCCTACCTCTGATAAAGCATTCTGAAAGTACCATCTTTATTGAAAGTTTGGTTGTCTGAATGCATAGCAATTCTTTCAGGTATCCAACCTGTCAGTGCATGGAGATCAATATTCTGAAATGAAAACACATTTGCTCAGCATATTATAAAGAACTGTTATCATTTTATAAAGAACCTTTCTGTACAAACAGAACTGTTTTGCAGCCTGAATACATCTTATTTTCTTCAAATGAATTAGGTCAACGGCTCCCACTGTATCTTCCTAAAAGAGAAGCTACTACAGTATCTTCCTAAAAAAATGTCAGGAAATTAATTAATGGAACATTATGTTCAATTAATACAGTTTGGAAATTCTTATGTGAAGCACGTCTTATACAAGAAAGTTTATCATCTCAAAATGGGTGACTTGATAATCAAGTATTATCCACTGGCATATTTGGTTCACAGCTCTTTCTCTGAATGCACGTTCCCAAAATAAAGCCCTTTAGAGCTTATGTGCATTTTAAATTATTTAGACTTTGCTCTAACCAGTCCCCAAAATACAAGGTATAAATGGGAGAGAGGCCTGCAAAACAAAGCTATATTGATTTAATTAGCACTGACATAATTTGCAAACAAAAAGACTAAGCTGTTTTTCTACTTTTCCCCAAAACAAGGTCTAGAAATACTCGGATACAATTCCCACCTTGTCTAAAGTCAATACTGGTAGACAGAACCCTGGGAGAACAACAAATCAAATGGAGTTATGTGCTGCCTTTGATAATTCTGATGTTTATTAAAACAAATCCAACAGCTCAAAGTGCTTCCTCAAATAGCAAATTGAAGAATGACAGGAAAAGAGGACACACTTATGCTGTTCTCTCTCACTGAGAGCTTCTCTGTTCTCTGAACTACAATACAATGGTACGAAGTTGAACAAACTTGCATTGCCTTTATTCTTTACACAAGCCCAGATTTGAGACTGTCCTAATAATCAATAAGAGATTAAGAAAGATGAGCAACTAGAACAGTCAATGAAATCTGTTTTTTCAAGGTACCATCCAGTGTGTGAACCCTGGTATAAACTTAAAAATATGCTGTCAAAGGTCAACAGGTAGGAAGCATTTCTTCATATGAATACGGACAGTTTACTCTGTTCTGCAAAACAAGCCTTGTTCTCTTTGTAAGAATGTTTTGCATCTCAGATTAAGACACAGCATTGTATAATGCGGTTATTAAAGAAAACTATATGAAGCGCAGGTTCCATGACCCTAAAAATTTGTGCTGTTTGATGGAATAATTTATAGACTCACATACTTACTTTGCACCGTATATTCAATTATAGTAAATGCTTTGTGTGTTGATTCCCTACCTGTGCAATCCACCTAATGCATCTTATCTGCAAAAATGACACCGGGCACATCTATACATGTGCTTTTATGTGCATTAGCATATTTTAATGCACATTAAAAGTGCCGCAAAAAAACCCATGTGCTTTTGCTAATGCGCATTAAAATAGGCTAATGCACCTTTTTCTAATACCTAACAATGGAGGTACCAAACTTAACGCGCATTACCCAAAGCAAATTAAATGAATGTGTAAATGCGCCCACTGAGACCAAAAGAGACACTGCTACAAGGCAAAAGGTATGGCTTTATGAAAGATACTATACAAGAGCCTGAAGAATAAGTGAGCATACTTTTCATAAACTCCAAATATTAATGCATTAGCTGTAACCAGGTGGGCAGTATCACAGAAATCCAGTTCACCCAGTTGGACAACACTATTTGCATTGGCTATAGCTAACTGCATGCTTAAATATTTGCATGGTCTGCAACAAATTTTTTAGTGCACATGATCACAAAATGCAATTCTCAAAGTTTCTCACTATTACAAAGAAAATTATCTGCTATGAGATGACCCACACGATTATACTTTTTTTTTTAACCTCCTGTCAAAAATAACTTGATACTTACAGAATTTGATCCAGGAAAATCATATCCACCCATAACCTTCATGTAAGCTTTTTCTATCAGAGAAACCCACAATTCATTTTTGTTGTTAGAATAAGAGCAAAGAAGTTCTCCATTATGGTCTACAGGCAACTGGTCATCAATTATAACCTAAGCAAAATAAAAAAAACGACCCAGAAATTATCTTGCAGCTGATAATTCAAAAGTTTTAAATTTCTTTTAAAACATAAGAACTCTTCATAAGAATATAAAAATTGCCATTTACTGGGTCAGATCATAAGTCCATTTGACCCAGTCTCCTCCATGTCACAGTTGCAGAAAGGGAGAATGAATTGCGAGTGACCAGAGTTTATTTATTTTTTTACACTGTTCCTCTCACTTGCAGCTCTCAGCATTTACGGTCTAGGAAGTTCTAATTCAGAGGCTGTATTCCTAACTCCCATCACCATATCTGCTATCAAACTGCTAGAAACCTGACCTTTGTTCCTCAGTTAAAACCGAACAATCAAGTCATGAAACAGCAGTGTAGCATACTAGGGAGAGCACCTGACTGGTTCTCAGGAAGCCCTGATTCTAGGAAGTGAACTTTGGAGTGCATCAGAAAAAATGATTAGTTTATTCAAAGGGAGGACCACCTCTGGGCTAAGACTATGGTTTTAATGTTTAATAAATTTTGTGATAGGGATGCAGAAAAATGGAAAACAAACACTCACAGGAACAGATAATCATCCTATAGTAGGTGGCAATCACTGCAGTCTCCTACTAGGGAACACTGTCTGAGTGGCAGGAGCCTCATGTGGCTCAAGACCATCACCTGACACATGGCACACTGCACCCATGACCTTCAACTCTCATTCTTAGCACTTCAAATTTTCTCCCTCTCTCTCACTGGAAAATCCAAATTACAGTTTTGAACCACTAACATCTTATTTTAAAACTAGCTGAAACCTGCAAAACATTTGCAATTAAGTTTTTATTACAAAAGTATTTCTTTAAATGCAGGATTTGTAGTTATCCTATGACTGAATACTTTAACAGAATCAAAACTTCTCACCCTCAAAAAGGCTACATAAAGCTGTCCATGTGTAAACACAGGCTTAGGAATATAAATACATATTTTGTCAAAAGTTTGACCTTGCCACTTGTCTATAGTCATAGAATAAGAGGGCCCTAGTACACATGAGGAAACTGCCCCCTTTAGTGGTTTAATTGCCCTTTTTAATGATTTCATTGCATAACAGTGTACACGTTTGGTGGCGTGTTACAATTTAAATGATTTTACGGAGTAAACTAAAACACATCCCATGTATTTTAGGTTGCTATGTAACAAATTACAGAGATATTCCTCATGTGTACAAGGGCCCTATCTGGAGAAGATGATGGTGATAGTGTACGGGGAGCTGGAAGTCTGGGTGTGCTTGGGAAAGCTCAGGCTTGGCAGGCTTCTTGTATCCCATGCACCGTCTCTATCACCTTCTCCCGCTGCCAGCACACCCAGTCACCCTCCTGGGACAGCCAGATCATTCCCAGGCGGTCCCAGGTGGCAGGGATGGTGCACAGGGCACTGGAAGCCCACCAAGCCCAAGCTTCCCCAAGCATAACCGGGCTCCCAGCGTTCCATGCACTGCTGGATCTGGTGGGTGCTGCCTGTGAGCTGGGACCACACCTGCACAACTAGCACCCTGCCTGGGTGGCCCTGGGGGCACCACCGCCACGGAGGGAAACACCAGGCCCCCACCCTGCAGCTCAGGGGCTGTGCGACCTGGTGGCAAATTGCAGAGGCAGGATCTGCCAAAGAAAAAGTGGTGATGGGCTTCCTTTTTTTTCCCCACCCCCTCCTGGAGTCTAACTGTGTCTCCCACAACCAGCCGGCAGGTTGCGCAGCACCTGAGCTGCAGGGGACCCTGATGTTTCCCTCTGTGGTGGAAGTGCCCCCACGGGCAGCACCCAGCTGCTGATATCCCAGCTGGGTGGTCCCAAGGGGTGCTGCAGCTTGCCCCCTGGCTGCAGATAGGCAGGCAGACTCCAGGGGGAAAAAGAAAAAAAAAGCTGGCCCCTTACCATTTTTTCCCCCTGGGGTTCACTCTAACTCTGACTTGTCTGCATATCTGTTTGAAACGCCTCAGGATCTATAACAACACACTTATTCTGTTTGTCCAGAGCATTCTGATTGGTTGTTTCAGTCAGCATTGTGATTGGCTGCCGAGAAAAAATCACAGACAGAATAAGCCTATTATTATAATAGATTAGACAGAGTAATTGTTTCAATATGGGCAATTTTTACTCCACTAGTAGTCTACTGGGTTCACAAACATCTCTGCCTCATCCAGATATTCATCTCTAAGTGCTATACACAATTAACATAGCACATTTTTATGGCCCATTTTTGCATCATATGTAATCTATTCACAAGAGAATCCCAGTGCCTTCAGTGCTTCTAACTCAGAGTACCAGGTTGCACGATAGCATGATTGGACATCAGCAGTCTGTCACACATTGTAAAACCAGAATAAATTTATCACGGTAAAGGATGTTTTCCAGTACATGTATCCAAGATTCTTGCCAAGATATAAAAGCCACAGCTCCACAGTGAAATGAGTGAGCTTCCAAAGTCTCAAGTTTACATACTAATTATGCTGTTCTTTCTAAAAGCTGTTTACCTTTCTAGGGACACCATTGATATGAAGCTTTACCATATACTTCCCACATGGGTTATATTCAGGTTCTCCTTTTTTATTCTGTGGGTAAATTATGCTATAAAGAAAAAAAAGGTATAAATTACTATACTTCTAAATCATCTACATGATGGCTGGAAGCATTACATTAATTTGATCTATGCCTGGGATGTACAGTTTATGCTATCATCTGAAGTTGCCAGAACTACTGTATAAAACTATATTTTAAAATAAATTTGAGTTTGTTTCTTAAACAAGATATGTATGCATTATACATGCATTATATTTGCTGCAGTTACTCTCCATTCAATAGAAATGGAAACAACTCAATCATCAAGTCATTGACTGACAGATAATCCAGCGATTGTTGCAAATTCTTTTAATGGTAAATACATGTCCCTGAATCCACAGGAAATCAAAGAACAAAGACATTTTCAGAAGGCCATTGCTTAGGGATAGTTAAAGGAAAAGTGTTAAATAAATCCCAATCAAAACACAAAATTAAAAAAAAAAACAACCAAGCACTTCCAAGGGAAGTGGTGCTGGCCCCTACCCTGGGGGTCTTTAAGAAGAGGCTGGATGCCCACCTAGCTGGACTCGTTTGAGTCCCATTTCTCTTTTTGGGGTTTTTGTTGTTCTCCCGCCCTGGCGGGGGGTCGGGCTAGAAGATCTACTAGGTCCCTTCCGACCCTTAATCTATGAATCTATGAATCAGCCCTGATCATACAATAAATATTATGTGGACGGATATCATGTGGAGCTCACCACAGGTTCAAGCCTATCACAAACAATGTTCTCTCAGGTCCACTTAACAATACTGTTGCATCAGTTGTGCAGCAGTTTCTATAATTTACTATGTCAGCAAGTCAATGATTCATGCTTACAGAATATCAAAATGAGATTGTTAAAAAAACCCAAATTGTTCATAAATTGAGACCTTCATTTTATGCATCTCCCTATACGTTGCTTCATTTTCAAAAGTGGTGGGAGCACACAAATCTCAGGGCAGGTCAGGAGAGCAGCAGATATTCAGCAGCTCTGAAGGTATGACCACTTTTAATCTAGTACCAAAATGTCAGATATCCAAGTAGTCACACTTGAGAATTTTGAAACAGACATCTTAAATTTTGACTTAGTTATAAAAACTGTGGTACCTCAGCTTCATGCATGCACACCTATATAAATTTAAATGATCACTTCCATAATATAGTCTCATTGCAGTTATAACCTAAACCATAAGGCAGGTTTTAAAAGCATGCACCATTACCAACAATATTTTACGTACCTTGTAATCAGCTTTTTGTTGTACCGCCTCTCATATGCTGCGCTGATAGCCAGTGATGCCACAAAGGAACAATCAGATACTATTGTCTAGGAGTGAAAAGGGAATATTCAAAATGGTCAAGCAGCAGTTACTTTAAGGAATAAAGAGGAGTTTTGAATTAAGGGAGGCACTAAGTCAGAAGTAGGAATTCACTGGAGGACAACCAGAGACAAATGTTTCCTGAGCTTCCGTAACATATTCACACACACTTGAGCCTCTTCTTTAAATCACCAATTTTGTGCAACTCGAGCCCAATGGAAGAAAAGACTCACTTTTTAAAAAGGACTTCAAACAAAGCCTTTATGTTAGGAGAAGCCCACTGCACTTCTAAAGGTCTCACTTTTACTCCCCTTTACATGGCTTAAATTTGAACTTACTCTCACAGGAATATGACTAAGTATTTTGACAGGCTTGATCAGTTCTGACTGATGTCAGTTTACGAACGGGGCAATAATGGCTTTAGGATGGAAAAAGCACTTAGAAAAGGTTAAGTACAGAAATGTTGCCAGCTTCAAAGGAAATCTGTCTCTGATTAAACTGATGAAAACTGAAGGTATTTTTACTTTTACAGGTTTCCCACGCTTTATGTGGGTTCTGTATGCACAAATTCGCTCTTATGGGATGACCCTTTTCATACCAAGAATTTGTTATATGCGAGGTAAATTCACTGTTATGTAACCTGCGTGGTGGAAACCTGCAGTCAACTGCTTTCTGCGGTGCATTGTGGGAGTGACGAGCACCAAAATATAGTCTCCTGTATGGATCTGTGCTCCTTGCTCATTGTCTGCAACACGTGTTTCTGTAGTTGCCATCCCCATTATAATAGTGCCCTGTGCTTGTGTGTACTGTCTGTTGTTGGAAAGTACAAGACAAGAAATTGTCTTGTAAAAGTGGTAGAAATGGGTCAGTACAGTCGAGGTCTTGGAACGTATCCCTATTTGCTACATTGTAAAGTGGGTTCCCTTTATGAGAATTCGAGTTGTGTGTCATTTTCCAGGAACACATGTACAGCATAAAGTGAGGGAAACCTGTATTTTCTTAATTAATGATTAGGAGGGAGTCACTTAAACATCGGGTTAAATATTATGTAAGTTTTAATAAGTATATACATAAAAGCTTGATGTTAGGGAACAAATGTTTGGGGTACAAACTTAATACTCTCAGGAACGTGGAACTGTGGAAAGATTAAAGTTAGTTAAATGATGGCTGCTACAATCCTGTGGTTGCATGGGAGGATGATGTTTCATATCAGACAAGACAGGACAAGCTCTGTGTGCTCCTGGTCCCAAATGATTATTTTAAATTTTCAGCGTTAACATTTTCAATCCTCCTTTATAAAAGTCAGATCACCCTCTACGCTGCCTAGTTTTGTCCCTGTGGTTCTCAACCTTTTTCAACTCAAGGCACCCCTCATTAACCTTAAGGTGTTCCTTGGAGAATGTCAGCTCTAGCTCCACTCATTTTTTGACTATGAAAAAAATAATAGACCAATTTTTCTATTGAAAAGAACTCGGAAAGACCACAATAGGTCATGTGTCGGTCACTATAGACTCCTATTCAGTATCTGTGGGTTTATCTTGGGAATCATGTGTAGATGTTTGTACATCCAACAGTACTCACACTATGCAAGACCTGAGGACACCCCTAAAAGGATCTTGCAGCAGTTCGGGCTGATGGAGGACCATGGCTGAGAATCAAGGTAGGAGATCAATGGCTATTGCTTCTTAAAAGCATGAAGGACAGTTACTTAAAAGTATAGAACTGCATTATTGTCTGTGGTAGCTATAACTACATTTGTCTACTCCAAATCACTTTATGTCCAAGAGAGAAACACCAGTTATTATTCCTGCCTTCATCCTTCCATTCATTCTTGCAGTCTTAAACGCAAGTCAAATGATTCATAGCCAAATCAAATTTACTGTCTCAAGTCGGCAAAACTAAATTTTTCCACTTACCACGTTTTTCACTAGCACGTTGACATTTCTTAAAAGGCTCTAGACTCATTCTGCAATACAGTCAAAATAACTGACACACATTTCATTTTAGAAACAGCTTACCTGCTTTATGCTGAAACTTGACACCGTATAGATCATTATAGGGTTATTTGTTAGGTCATCAGGCCGTACCCATTTGGCAAAAATTGCCTTTTGCTTGGGGGACAGTGGTAATTTGCCACATTTATCTCTGGAGTCAAGAAAAAGATAGTTTCAATAAGTCAAAAATGGAACAGAAACATCCTTTCACAGTATATCCCAGCCTGGCAGGTTACAAGATACTATGATTCCTTACCTCCTGATATTTTCATTGTTTTATTGAACTTTAAAATTTTATAAATCCTTCAACCAGTTACACATAATTGAAGTAAATGCAGGCAACCCTGGCTAGTGGCAATGCTATGACCCCCCCACCCATGTTTCTGAAGCCTGGCCTGTACTCTGTCTGTTAAGCCACACTTCCACACTGAAGAAAAAGCTCTGGAGAAAGCATCAGGTTTACAGATAAAAACCTCAAGTCCAATGTTTTCCTAAGAGACTGAAAGTGATATTGTATAACGGGGTTAAAAAGAAAAAAACCATGCAGCAGGATAAACATGAATACAGCACCTCAGAAAGCATGTCCAGACAAGCAAGCATGTGCGTCCTCTGGGGACAACCTACAGCAGCACGTATTTGTGCCACTGCTACTTGTCCCTGGGGAACACCCCTGCATGTGCGCTCTGGCATACAGCAAGATGCCCTGGATGGAGTAGGGGAGGATAAGGCCAGCACTTCTATTGGCCCCAGCAGCCTTACCAGGGGTCCTGGAGGCCTCCTAGGGCTCCAGCAGCAGCAATCTGGCCATATGAAGCGTGGCCAGCAACTGGGACATGGCTCTAGCCAGCCAAGCTCTGGTTTTGGGCAGCGCATGCTGCCACTATGTGCACCGCACTACTTTTTTTTCTGGCACAGGTTTGACACTGGGATCTCCTGGTGTAAACCCCCCGCCTCCCTACTGTGCTGTAAGTTAGCACTGCAGCAAATGCCTGCACATGCATGCTTATCTAGATGTGCCTGGGAAGTACAAAGGGAAGACCAGGATTTTCAGTTCACTGCTGGTCTTGGTTGCCCAAATGTAAACTTCAAGGGGCAAGAAGATCCTGATTTTCAGAAGCTAGGTGTTCAGCACTTCCTTAAAAAATAAAATCAGGCTCCATTAAAGTGTCAGGACCTGGGCACCCAAAAAAAGGGGGGGGAGGGCAGGGGAGGGGCAAGGGTACCCAAAGCCCTAGTCATTCTGAAAACTGAAGCTGAGCTCTGACAGCTTTGCCCCTGACATCCCTGGTATAACAATTACCACTCTCCTTTGTTATCAGACCAGCTTATATGTCCTGCCACCCCTACTGAACAGCAACTGTGCATTTTCTGCATGAGTTATGATTTAATTAGTACTAAAACTATCTGGAGTTTGCAGAAAGAAACCAAACAAGGAAAACAGGAAAAATCTGGGGAAACACAAGCAAAAGAAAGTATAGGTACCTAATTTTACTTACGAAAATGGCATTGGAAAGGCAAAACGCTCCCTCAGGTCAACACTCATGAAAGGGACATACTCAATACCATTTATCTTTGAGGTCTTTCTGCACATAAGAGAACAAGTGGTTATAAACATCAAAGTGCAACATCTTGATCTATTTAATTTTACAGCCTTTCAAAGACTAGGATCCAAGAAGTAACAATGAAACTAATGAAAGGAGATGTCTAGAGACTGGCAAATTTCCACCACTTGAATACAAAGTTCCACAAGAGACAGATTTCTAAAGCTGGAGTACTTGTTGGCTTGTCCAAATCTGCAAATACACACACAAGCACACACAGACAAACAGGCCCCTGCACAATGGTCATATTCAACTTTCTCTGCAGTATCTATGATTTTTTAAGCCTCTTAGTTCCACTAGATCCATCTATTGGAGTAGACTGGAAATTAAGTTGACCACATGGCTTTTCTGTTTGTTCGTACTTTTATTGATAAGAGGAGTGCTTCTACTCACTTATGATACAGACACTGTAACAAACAAGTACTATGGGGAGAGAGGAGGCAGAGCTGCTCTGCAGTAACTGGCCCTGGGTCTGTTTTACCCCATGTTAGGTAGAAGCTGAATTGCAGTAGTGTATTCTTCATGAGTAAATTATTGCATATTAGCTTCCACTTACCACCAGGCAAAATCAGACACCCAAGCACTTAATGCAGAGCAGCTGCGGCTGCCCTGTCCCCTTTTACTTCATCACAATTGTTCATATGTCCACACCTTTAGTCAAATGGTAAAAGCACACATGCAAAAAATGGAGGTGTATTTTTAATGGGACAGTCAAGTACACAGAGTGCTGAGCTAACTGGGGGTGGGGTAGGCTCTTACTGTACAGCTGTAAGAATCAAGAAATAAGTACTAATGGATGTGAATCTGGACACAGTCTAAGTTTCAGTTACAACCTTGAACTTCCAGGCAGTAAACAGCAGGCAAAAGGGGTAAAGTATTTTCAAAACTAAAAGAAAAAATATTTGAAGGCTTTTTTTACATTTACATTTCACTCATGCTAGTTAAATTAAAAAAGGAAAACTAGTAATAAAAATAGAAATAGGTAATACAAATGTTCAACTTTTTATATGCAAAATGCAGTTCTCTCTCTTGGGCCACATCTACAATCTGCTTAACAGTGGAAGAACTTCATCAATTTAAAGGAGCTTTTCATGAGGCTTTTATGTTCTACATGCCCAATCCTGCATAATGTTAAGCACAATCAATTTCCACCAATACCTCATATGCAAATATTATGTTTGACAATGCAAATGGAAAGCATCTGTCCAGACAATGCTCTTTGCAAGGTGCATCTGATGGATTTTCAACGCTTGTAATTTAATGCTAGGATAATATATTTTTATCATTTGTTGAATGCTAAAGAGCTTAGTTTGGATGCCTGATCTTACTCTCACTGAAATCTGACAAAAGGGAACAATGTACTCCATGTACATGCATACCAGACAAACAGTATAGTTCATGTAACACCACCAGTCCCAACTTTCTGCTTATTTTTACATTATAGCAAACATCAGTTACCTACATACCAGTTAAGCACATATTTCAGCTATACTTTTTACTCTGTAATGTAAATATGTTCTTTTTAACTGCATAACTAGTGCCAGAAACAGTGAAAGGAAGCAGCTGAGAAAGCGCTTAGAAACCTTGTGCAACAGGCCTCCTTTCGGACCCCATGTACCAGGAGAAATGGGAAGGGCCCTTTAAGAGAGATGAACCAGATTAGGAGGCCCCTTCCCTGAAGGTATATAAGGAAAGGGCCTTAGTATTTGGCTCTGGCAGTGGTGGAAAGCAGAACTCCTAGCACAGAAGGCCAGAGAAGCTAACACAGCCAAGTTGTCAGGATGGTTAACATATGGTAAAGGACGCTGTAGACAGGAGGACCACCTGTAGGAGACCGTGTGCTGTTAAAAACTGAAAGGTCTTAGATGTGAGAGGTGCTACACCTGGCCAAAGCCCTTCTCCCTCCAGTGACTGACCACTGCAATTCCATCAAGGCATGACAGGTGAGTGAGGTGGGGAAACTGGGAGTGGAGACTAAATGGGTGGTATGTGGACTGTGAGGCTGGCACCATGGGGATAAGAGTCAGATGTCATGCCTGAAAAATGATGAGCGCTGATTAAACATGACTGCTTTCTATGTTCTACAGGAAAACCCCCCCACAAAATATTTAATCAGTATCAAGGACTTCTATTAAATATACCTTAAAAGAGAGCACAGTCTGAACACGAGCCATTGTATTTGTTTATTATAATGTTTTAGAATGAGTTCATGCTTAGAGGTCTTTTGACAGTGGATTCCCCCTATTTCCCCACCTTTTTAAACATACAAAGGAACAGCTCCCTCCCCCTCAGCACCTCTCAATGTAATACTTCACTGACAGAAATAATAAAAATCAGAATAGTTTGTCCTTACATTACCTGAGCACTTCAATCTCCTCTGTGGTGTATCTCTGACCATGAGATTCACTACCTTGCACTGCCCTGGCTGTTTGTGGTTTATCATTCAAGGAAAAGTCAGGTCCCAATGGAAAGAATGCTCTAACAGGCTGATTTGGTTTAACTGCAGCTGACTTGTCTTTTTGAGATGACTTTGACGTAGACTCCTTAAGTGCTTCTGCTCTAAAAACAAAAATGTTGTTTGTTAAGTTTAATGTAAAGCAACAAAAAATTGAAGTTTAAATTGCTTGTTTGTACTGCCATATGAATCATACCAGGTGGACAAATGTAAACATGATCTAGTATTAGTTTGCTTTTGCTAAGGAAATAATTTCAGGAGCAGTACAGGCACGAGATGGAATAGTAAGGAAGTTTCTTGTGTCAGAATCTACTTCTTTCATTTTTAGGGTGAACAGAATACAGCAACTAAATTATCAAATAGTTTTGGCTTAATTCATTTTAATAGTTCCAAAAACTTGAAAATTACACTCACTGGAAGATCTGTGTGACAACTTACTAAATACTTTGGAACTTAAACATACTGCCATCAAAATCCAGGCATTTAGGATTTTAAATATTCATGTGGACACAAATGGATTTATTTTATGATTCTGAAAGAAACATCTGCTAGAACTTAGCACACCAGAAGCCATGTTTCAATCTCCATGAAGTCATTGACTTAAACAGTCAGTATCTTTGCAATAGGTATTAGGCTCTAGTACAGATGTAGGCAGAGCCGGATCTGGCCCGCAGAGTGACTTTGTCTAGCCCATGGCAGGTTCCTTGGTCCTGCCTGGCCCAGACGCCATCTGGCCTGCGGTGCATCCCTCTGCCCCCACTCTGCAGCTGGACTAATTTTCTAGGAAGCCTAGGTGGCAGCGGCTCCTTCTGGCTGCCACCACCACTGGCCCCAGCCCTGTGGTACTGGCAGGGACCTGCGCACACAGTCCTAATCCCAGCCCACCCCACACCCGCTTTGGACTTGTCCCGGAAGAGCTGACCATGCAGAACCCGCATGTATGGCCCCAACCCTGGCCCACCCCATACCTGCTCCAGACTTGCTTGCCCATGCTGAGTAGCAGCAGCAGCTGAACAGAAGCTGCTGCTTGGCACATGGGAAAAGCAGCCCCTCTCCTTTACCACTGCTGGGCCCTTTTTGCTAAAGCTACCCAGAGCCCACACCCAGGCTGCCCTATGGCTTCTCTGCACTGCTACTGCTGCCCCACTGGGCAGCCCAGAGGTGGTGGTGGAGAGGAGCTGCGGGGTGGCCTGTTAGCAGTGAGGGGCTGCTTTTCTCCTGCGCCAAGCAACATTCTGCCTGGCTGCTGCTCTGTGTGGATGGGCGGTCTAGAGAAGGTGTGGGGCAGGCCAGGGTTAGGACGGTGTGCACGGGTTCCAGCTGGTCCACTCTGGCTGGGGTCAGAGCTGTGCAGTGCTGGTGGTGGTGGGGAGTAGCTGCAGGGTACACTGGCTCTGGGCTGTTGTAGCGGGTAGGGGAATACTGACCAGCCTGCAACAGCTTCCCAGAACTGATTATGTGGCCCATAGGCCCAAATAACTGCCTGCCCCGGCTCTAATGCCACAAGTACTGTTACAACTACAGAGTAAAGTGTTCCATTTTTCTGTGCACCCAAGCTGCAGTGTTGAGGATGGGCTGGCTCCCTGGCTCAGTACTAATCAAGAAAAATATATCACAGAGGCCCAGGGCCTGCTCTCAGTTGGCCCACTTAAGACCTAAATACAGAATATAGCTAGAAGTATTCCTTTTAACCTTATACTAACTACTTGGAGAAACCAGCCATAGGTACCCACCTATCCAGTGCTTGTCGAGCCAGCTGCTTCAGTTTTGTTTGAAGACTTGGCTCTGAAGTTTCGTTAGCCTTTATAGAAAAGAAAAAGAAAGTACCGCAGGTTGTAAACCCTGGCAAATTCCAAAGGTACAAACAGGAGTCAAATATTAAACCGTTATTTTCCATATGTACACCATGGTGAAGTAACACCTGCACCAAAATTGACTGTTGGAAACCTTGAAAATGAGAGGAGCTAGGCAGTTCCAAAACTACTATCTGAAACTTTGAAGAGGAGTGGAGTCAAGCAACCCTGAAACTGTCTATACTAGATTGCTTACACGGTTGTATACTTAATGAGCATTGACTGTTTGCCCCAGATTTGGTAAGTTCACAGCTTCTTTTCAGTCCTGATGCAATGTACTTAAACTGAACGCACTGTAGTTAGTTGGAATGCAATGTGCCATTTTAAAATTTCTATTTATAGGAAGTAGTAGTTTCATATAAAGTGTTGGGAAAATGAATCAAGATCTTTAGAAGTTGCATTTTTTGCCCTGTAGATGCTATCTTGATTCATTTTCCCCTTTAAAGATGTTGTGATATTAAAATGTTATTGAATTGATGTATCCTTTCAAGTTTCCTTACGAACAACAGGGTATATAATCATATAAAAATATGGTTGGCAGGGACCTCTGGAGCTCATCTAGTCCAACCTACAGTATACTTCCTCACAACGTAAAATATTCCAGGATGAGCCAGGAAATCTAGCCTTTATTTCAAGCTCCAGCAGGTAATCACTGTGAGCTGGTCACTTTATCTGTAAAATGGGTAGAGTGAGACTAAGGAACTTCTCAAAGAAGGTTTGAGATCCAGGAAGCCTATTCCATTCAGCACAGTTTGAGTTCTGGCTTTGCTCTGCATCCCTGGCTTTCTCTGTGATAAATAAGGCCTGCTAAGAGTGGAATAGGAGAATAAAAGGCAATAATTGTTTCTGGCCTACCCACCAAACCCAACCTCTTCCTTCTACTCCCCCCCTGACAAAAAGGAGGTGGGGGGTTCCTTTGCTTTGGGAAAAAAATGTCCAGTAGGGTAGCTGTCTGGAAAAGCCTTAAGAAGACGATTAGAGTGGGGAAACAATGGGGAAACAGGGACACCCCTCAGGGAGTGGGGGAAATGAGGGGAGAGCAGAGACAACAATCAGGGA